GGTTATCTAACTTATTAGTAGTATTAATTAACTTTTTTAACATTTTAACAATTGATAATGTATAATTATTTACAATTAAAATAAATTTAGTAGTTCATTATACAACGATATTTATTGTAGTTTTATAATCATTGTACGTCAATAAAACCAATTAGCGTCCTTAAATTGAATGCGAAATGTAGAATTTATTTTATCAGAAGTCCTATATTTGGATTCGATTGTTTTATTTGGTAATTACTTCTTAAGCCTAATTATGGCATAACTGCTTCCATTGTCACTTTAAAATATTTTGTTTTTAACACAGCCTTCATTTTATTTCTGCCATTATACTCTACTACCAAATGTACTACCGTGTAAACAACTCGTCTACTGCGACGTAATACAAAATGTCCGAGTAATTTTCAACAATAAGTTTTATTTATTTTTCACCTACTGTCACATCATATTTATGCAAAAGTTTATTATTCGCTACTGTTTTTTTTTTTTTTATGTTTCAATTTTCAACTCCTTTACTTTTTTAATCTTATTTTTAAATTCTTCAAAATTAAAAGTTATCCCTTTCATCAGTGATGAAAGAGTTATATTGGAATTAACCGTTATCTGCGTGCGACAACTTGGCTGTTATTTATTTATTATACATCTTAAACTATACAATGATATGTCAGCAAATCATTACAATATGTAATATACGTTAGTTTTAAAATACCAAAGTCCCATTTATTATTTATAAATAGTTAAATTTAACAAACGTTTGTTTGTTTACAAGTTAATCTATTATTATAATATAAAAAAATAAATAAATGCAATACGTCTGTAGAAGTATATATAAATCACATTTAGAAACAAAGGTACTTATTTAAAATATATTAGGTGATTTTATTTTCATATAAATAAATATTCATATACTCAAAATATACGAAAATATGTTTATTATACATACATTTAAAAAATATTTATACTTGATTTGTAAAAATTGTTTATCATTATTTTTATTCTTTCAAGATAAAAAAAAACTTAGATCCTATTTGAAGAGATTTTGGCAAAAAATCAAATCATAACTTATATTAAACCATTCAAAATATTCGGACCTTTACTTTTTAAGTTCAAACCCATTTATCTAAAAAAAAAAAAAAAAAAATGTATTTCCTGGAACCATTTGAATAACTATAATATTATACTGAATGCGACGATATTACTTTAGAACATTAGTTTTAAAGTAATAAAAAATTATTATTTCAATAAATATAAATAAAGATTATTTACCAACATATACAGACTTTAACGAAGTTAACGATAAAGTATTATTTAAACTCATGAATAAAGGTTCGATAAATATTTGAATTGTTGTAGTGAAAACGGTAGAACAAAGTATGGCACAGTTAAGTATTAAGATTTTCAATACATCCAAATTTAAAAAAGTCGAGCGAAGATAAAATAAAAATAACCAAATAAATTCAAACATCTTGAATTCTTACCTAGAAATGTATTTAATAATTAGAAAAGTTGTAAATTATTAACATTATCAGTACTTTGTTAGGTACCGGAGCTTATGAAGGTATAAGTACAGATATTATAAGTTTTTTATACACTTATTTATCAATAGACTCTTCATTTTTTGTATTTCATATTTTAGAAATAGGCAATAGATACGCAAAAAATCATTGTTTAGTTTTCCATTTTATACAACACCAAACAATTAAAATATTGACGTTTAAACAATCACTAAAACCCATTTATTTTGTACCAAATTACTGTCGATTATGGTACTGTTTTGTTTATCTATTAATATACATACATTGATATTAACTTTGTCGAATAGTTTTATTTTAATTATTAAAATGTAAATAATTATAAAATATAAATTGTTATAGGTATTTAGTAATAATAAATATTCTGAGTATAATACGTTTTGTTATGTCGTAAAATGTCACCGTGAAAGATGATTAGGTAACAGATTTTTTAATTAAATTAAATTACTGCTAGGGTTATTTTCAATGTCTACGTTACAACAACGTAGTCATTCTTCTGTATTAAACAATATACATTTTTGTTTCTTAAAAGTGCTTGATCTGTACGGTAATATTATATTTACAAATTAATAGTCCTGACAACCAAAATGAATTAATGCTGATCGGATACTTCTATACCATTTTCTCTTTAGTCTTCTCTGAAAATAATACCTTAGGATATTGTCATAGTCGGAGCAAGAATCAATGGGTTCGAAAAATTCGCAAGGCGATAGAAATAGTTTGTAGGTAGGTCTGAAACTGTTTAGATTTTTATGGCTATATGAATTGTCATTTGATTTTCAAGCAACCACTTAAGTAAGTTTAAACGAATTTATTTAATGCAGCTGTAATTATATTCATTAATGTTTATTGAAATATTATACGATTTATCTATAATCATGTCACATCCACCATTAACTAAAGATATTGTATGTAACAATAAATAATTTTCGATTAATATGTGTAGTAAAAATAATTATACTAAGTAATCAGAATAAGGTATCTCACACTTCATTTTCATTTTCATATATTTTTCTCTGGTTTAATTATATTAAGTGTACACAAATAAATAAATAATTTTATATATTTATAAAAAAAAAAATAATTATGTAACGGTGATCATAGAAAAAGTATGTTAAAATAAATTGCATAATAAAATTCAAAATATTGAAAGTTAAAACTTTAAAAGAATTAAAATGTTTAAAACCCGTATCTTTGTACTCAAATCAATAAGCGTAAATATTTTAATGTAAAATAAACCTATTTGGTACACCGAAAGCTTCACGCTTCGATGGCGCTACTGAAGGAAATGTACTTCAGGTTTACACTCACTGGACTCTCGACGTCTCAACTTACAATATAGTACTTTTTTAATGAATAATAATTAATATTATGATTTATAAATTAATGTAAAAACAAAAATATCACCATAGTAAAAATGAGAAAAGAAAGATCTTGATTTTCACACACACACACACACACATACAATAAGAAAATTATGGTGGTTTATTTGTCAGTTTAGATTTTTGAAATTCAGAAAAAAATAAGTTACCATCAGTGTCATAAAAAACGTTAAATTTACATTTTTATTCACCTCCTCGAAATTTTACAAGTTAAAAGTTTATAAACTTTAACTGAGAATTTGAATGGCATTTGACGTTTATTTATTTTTTTGAAATATGACAACATTGAGCTATCGAAACTATTTTTTACATGCATCGAAAAAAGAAACTTGACCAACATTTTAAATTTAAATATTTACACGCATATGATCGGTTATTACTAATTTCGATTGTTATTAAAAACAAATACACCAGAAATAAAACTGACATTAGTTGAAAAATAAGTAATCTATCAAGTCGTTATAGCAGAACATGAAAACTTATATTATAGAGCCTTTTTCACAACTTATAGTGAATTTAAAACTTGAAAGAATATTATACACGACGTGCAGGTGTAAATATGGTGAAACGAACAAAGTTTCGGAAGATTAAATAGCCCCTAGATGATCCCCGTATAATTTGCGCCACCATTTCGATTTATGACCATTATATAATGATGTATGAAACACATAAAAATCTCTGGAAAACCGAACCATTATAACCCATGCTAAACTGTACGTCCGTACGGTAAAAGTTGGAACATGGTGTCTATACTGTATACATACCTACCTACTACATGGTATGTTGGAAAATAACATGACTTTTATAAGTAATTAACTTTAACAGACGTATTATTATTATTATTATTATTATCTGTAATGGTAACCGTACTTGCGCTGGTAACATTAAAACCTAAATGTTTGTAATCCTCGAAAAAATACATAACACGGCAATATAGTTACGACGAATGACGATCGGTGCATCTTTTTGATTTTAAAATAGACCTGCAACAGATACGAGATTGTCGATAAGATATATTATATAACAGTATATTATTATTAATAACACACATTAAATCGTTGATTTATGAAATAGTGGACGTTTAAATTACCACTCTCATAAATCATGTAACTTATAACACTGTTAAAAGAAGTGTTACATTTTAAAAATACTCTCACTTGTTCGGAAAACATATTAGACTTTTCCGTGGCCAGGGTAAGAGTGCAGTAAGTGCGGTTGTATACCCTGCGTCTAAATTGAATCTATATTAATAGCTACAGTGGTTATTAAGGTTACCACTATCCACAAAGTATAAAATTAATAGTCAGCTATTTAGCTTCTAGATAATCTATGATCGGTATTATGGTTAATTGATAAATCGTAGATATTAAAAAAAAAAATGTTACATCAAAATAATTATTTCTTTTGATTTATTTTACTGGTATCAAGAGGAAGAGTAAATCTCTTAAAAATATTTGCGCCGCCTGTATAGTAAGGCTAATACCGTCTAAGCCGGTAAGTATAATTATTTAACTAGACGGCAAGGTAATTAAACTTTTATTGAAACGTTTAAATACATAAGCAGTTCAAAGAGACTGTTTAAGACAACTCTATCGGCTATTGTAGCACATACATGCTGTACAGGTACTCGATAGAGTAGTCGGGCATCAATACTACGGTTCAACATGGAATGTGGTTTCATTAAACGTAGGTATATCCCTTGGAAATATTCATAATAATATTCTACGTCACGTGTCAATTTACTACTTTTCGTATGAAATTGGCTACGGGGGTAATAGGTGAGACGGGCAATCGTCCACGGCAGCTGTTACCTCCGTATATACTATGTGTGTGTATGTGTGTATAGAATAAAATTGAAACAAAATATTATGTAAGTTACTGGCTACACGAGGTGAATTTATCGTTTGGATATGTAGTCAGTGCGCGCTACAACGGTCGGGCAGCGGACCTTTGCACAAGTTGCATTGACGGTGGCGGCGGCGGCAATTTTTGCGCAAGTATTCGAATTCTGGTGCGTAACGGCGGCGCAGCGGGTAATACCAACACGCGCGTGGAGAGAGACGAAAACCGTTTAAATGTCGGTCGGCCCTCTTAGGCGTCAGTCGTGAGTTGTCGAATATATTGCAACATTGCCCGGTCCGTTTGGCTAAATAGGGCTACGTGAATATAACCTAATAATAATAATATCACGTAACCCTGATTGGTGTCCGCAGCAATCAAGTGTGGTGATATTGTACATTTTCATCGAAGATTTCTATAATGGTAAGTTACCACGATATATTATTACAATATTATATTATTATTCCGATAACGAATCCGTACGACAGAACTAAAAGTTCCCCCCCCCCTTTTTCATATTTTATCAATTATAATCTTTTCCACACCACTAAACAGAACTAATTAATTTAAAAACTCTCTCATTCTAAGAAAAAGCTATAAACTTACTGAAAATTTGAATTTTTTCTTTATATTTTCAAATATTGTAATAATTTCTAAGTATCTTATCTACTTATATACTTTTTTGACTTCTGCTCGTTTTATTAAATTAAATAAATTATCATTATTCATATTCTTACTATACATAAACGTTAGACTGAATAATATTTTTTACTTAAAATAATATACCTAAGGTTCTTGTATGCTATACTATATATGTATAGAAAAAATTAAGCAGTTACTACGGGCGGCTGTCAAATTCTGAACAATATTTTTACGATCTAAAATATGGTTCGTGTGGCGATTGTGTTATATCTTTTCTATCGCAAGCACCTGTGATAATTAATAAAATATTTCTTAACACTCTGTTTGATTAGTCATCTTTAGAATATTACGTTAATTTAAACGCAAATATTTTTCATAAGATTCAATCGAAACATTCACTTTTTTTAATATAACATAAAAACAATATTTTATCGATAAAATTTCATATTTTCCCTCAGATAATAAATTAATATAAACTGCATATATTATATTATTATATTAATTGTATACGCTTTAAATACGAATTTATTTTAACATAAATTAAAATGCAGAATTTTTTTTAATGTTTAGTATGAACTAGAGTGATTTTTGGACGATCGTAGTTTTTAAAAATAATATTCGTATTTAAGTACTAATATTTATAGTATAATTATTTTCAGCCACTAATTTAAAATTCATTTTATACGTTTCACATAATATAAACAACTTCAAATTAAATGCTAATAATTTAAAAATAAATTTTAATATATAAAGAGAAAAATATAATTCTTTTTGTTAGTACATAGTTTTTAGTTAGAGACTTATCATTATGTATTGAAAGAAGTTTTGATAATAATTTTTAAGCAGTAAAAATGTTGCATAATTATTAACTATAATATAGTTATAAATGTATAATGTATTCAAATATTACTTCTTTTTTGGTATGAGAAAATAAAATCATAAATATATTCACGTAAACATAACTAAACGAAAACTTTTTTTTATCTATATATTACAAATAGGCTAAGGTTAGGTTATTTTTTAGGACTCAACTTTTCCCTTCAGTTACCACCATCATCTCAATAACACTATTAACGTTTACGATTTAAATCACATTTTTTTGATTGATTTTTCGATTTCAACAACAAAACTTAATTATTAATACCCGAAATACATATCTACCTATGTATTTAAGTAAGTAATATCCTGTTTTTATTCTTATTATACACTGTTATAGGGTTATTTAACATTTTAACTCTGGAAGTTTCTAAGCTTTAATGTACTTCATATGAAAAAATCAAATATATTTGTTTATTTATAAATTTAAAATAATCATATTTGTTTAAATTATATGTATGCGCATTGTACACAGATAAAATTTCTGATTATGTTAATCTTAACGTTAATAATTTATAAAAGGTTGTTTTTTACAAAAATACGATATCTTTAAATTGTTCTGTACGTTACATTCTTCTTTCCAGATAGATAATTATTATTTTTAACAAAAGAAGAAAATAAAAACAAATTCATGTTTTAAAATATAATTTATTTTAACTGAGTTAAAACTTGACTGTCTTCCTTTGTCGCTTGTTTTTCTTACATGAGGAATACAAGAGATTCAAACTAAGTGGTCACACGAAAATGATGTTTTTTAACGAGAAGTTTATATCAAAGTCTTTGCACAGTCTTTTGTAAGAGAATACTTAGTTATAAGACTAAACTTTAAGTCACAAATAATTAAGTTTTGAAAATAGATGATATTTAATTTTTTACTTTTTTAATGTATATCAGATTTTTATATGAATAATAATAATTATGATTATTTCTAAACTTATTACAAGAAATATTTATAGTTATTTAATATGTATTCAATATTATTTTTAAGTTTTATTTTCATATATTTATTTTAAAAATAATATTTTCATTAAATGTATTTTAATGATGATTGAAAGGTAGAAATTACGTTATTAATTAATAGCAATGAATTTAAACAATTTATTGTAATCAATGTATTTGAAAATTATAAAATACATAAGTCATATTAGTCATAATAGTTGTCTTAAATTATACTAGTTAAATTATTGCAGTATTTTTAATTTTTCAACAGTTATACGATTTTGATTTATTTATAGAAACAAAGTTCACATCAACTATTTGGCCGTTAGACATTAAAGTTGTTGTGCATAACTTCTAATTGACTTAATATTAGAACAAGACATTACAACAAAAACTCTTTTTTATAAGCCTGAGTATGTAAATAATTATGGTAATAGATTCAATGACGTAACACTCCCTTTCCAAACAGCAATTTGAATGCAAAAAATATACTTAATATTAATATATTATGCTACGGCTTACGGAATTCTAGAAAAATATTTTACACTATGATTATATATTATATACTTAAAAATATTATCATAAAGATATATTATTACAATAAATAGTGTACGAACATTTTTCTTTCCGCTAAATGGTATTTAAATATAAAATTTTGCCCTCCCCTAAAAAAAAAAAAGTAATGCCTATTCGCATTATTACTAATAGTAATATTTAACACATTTTTTACTAGACATAACGATTTTAAAGTAAAAAAAAGTATAAACACACACAGAAATAAAATAATAAAAGTATTTTCTTACTTCATGGTATAATTTAGTAACGTTCCAATTATATGTTACAAGTGGTTTTTAATAATTTAATTGGTAAATTATAATTGTACAGAAAATAAAATACCATATATTGGGAATTCGAATATTGACGTTCGAATTTCAGACTAGGTTAATGATAAATTAAAAGTTAAACGTAGACTTTTGAATGTACACAGTATTTAATAATTTTATTTTTATCTGTCTATTCAACTTAAAAATTGTATAAAAATTAAATTAAGTACGTATATACAAGAATAATGAACGACTGAGCAATCAGGACTGTTGTTTAAATGTTTAAACATCACTAAGTAAGAGAAATTGATGAAATATTTGAGTGAAATGAAAACTATAAATTAATCAATATAAAATGTATACATTTCATGGTATTATTATATTATTATTTATTAATCGTTTAAAATTGTAATAAATAACATAACTGATCGCTGTTCAATTCTACAAGTGAAAGACAGTTATTGTCTTATGATTTTTTTAATTATATTTTAAGGCAGAAAGATTGCTCCATGTATTTATTCACCCATTATTGATGTTTAACACTATATAGTTTATACAGCAAAAATAAAATGTAAATAATTATTTATTATTGAATTGCCAATTGACAATTTTATAGATAGTGACTTTTAGCAATATCTAATAAGGTACCTATGTATTATATTATAAATGTATAATATACATTGAACATAATTAAAATCTAAATTTATGTTTATTTATTAACATTTGAACAAAGCATCATGAGTTTACTGGTAAAAAAAATAATAATAAATATTAGTTAAGTGTTAATAGTATATTATTTTATTATTTATTTGACAATAGATAATAATTTGAGTAGGCATTATGTAGGGTTATAAAAATGTATTAACCATGATTTGTATTTTTAATTTTTTTTTTAAATGATAAAACCTAAGTTATAATTAATATTCATAATTTATAGTAAAAAAAAAAAAACATTATGTTTTAAACTTATGTGACCATTCATTTAAAACACACTGCTGCGTCATTTATTATTTTACGCAGAAGCTTTCATTTTATGGAACACTTAACTATAAAACAATATTATGCATATTTTGTAAATATATTAATAATATGATAAAGTATATTTTAACGTTAAAAATATTTATAAAAATAAAATATATCAACTATCCTATGGTTGATACATTTATTTTTAATGTTTAAATTTATTTCATGTTGAATTTTATTTTTGTTCGTTTCATAAATATGTCAAATTAATTTTTACCCGGTAATGTATTTATCAATACCTCATCATTTTTAAATAAAGTTATGGATTAAAAATATAGTCATAATCAATATGAAGGTATCAACTATTCAAACAGAATATGAAGTGTAAATTGGTACACAATAAGTTATATTTTCTTTAAATAATCAGCCGTTTTTGAATAACTGCAGTACGTACATTAAACACAGTAGTATTACTATAGATAATATAACTAATGGTAATTTGACCTCACCGTCAAAGTATAATAATTAATATTGATACTAGCATAATATTATGTATTATATATATTGTATATATATATAAATGTTTAGATGTATTTTATACTTATATGTTATAAACTCACAACTTTAATAACATAAAGTATGGACTTACAAAAACATTTATTTATTAATATTACTTTTAAAAATTGATTATTTAAACAATAAATATTAATGAAATTAAAATAATCATGATAACATTGCATAATAATGATATGTTCTAAATTTTCAAAGTTAAATTTTAAAAAATAGCTAATATTTAGTTTTGGCTAATCATATAGTGCAAAAACGTGTCGTACAAAAGGCATACATTTTATTGTTTTTCGTTTAAAAAGGCTGAACATTTATTATTGCCCACTTGGCTGAAATCTCTGGTCAGTATCCAACATTTAATAAGTACCCAACTGAATAATATAGAATCAGAGGTAGAACTAAAAAACAATACATAAATTATGCCTTATGTATGAAGAGCTCTTATTGCTTTGTCTCATTTTTTTAAATTTATATTTATTACAATATTAATTTATTGCAAATAGTTAATGAAAATATTTTCAAATATATAACCCGCAGGACAAATCTTTAATAAAATAAAACTGTTTATATAGAAAATTAAAACGTCTTTATTCTTTATTTAGTATTAAGACA